ACATGATGTTGATTTACTTGTATCTTCCAATTGTTATTTAGTACTGAAATTGATCAATCTCTTGTTGGCATTTATGAATCCTTTATGGAATGCCTCGATATTATCTTAATATCTAGTTAAAAAAACTGATGAAATATACATATTAGAATGAATTCAACACTATTCAGTCAAAATGGACAATAATGTGCTTATTAACCGATTTTCTTAGATTATAATAGATTTAATAGGAAATTGTAGATTGATACTGGTGGCAAGTTACAAAATTCTAATAAAACATCCAGTTGATGAGCCCCGAACAGGACGAAACGCGCATACTGGATTCCTCACTGCTATCCAAAATCAATCGTTGCTTATGATGCTTGTAAATTAAAACAATATCGAGGCAATACGCACAATATGTACATATGCTTATAAGAGACTGATCAATTGCAGTCTTAGACATTAATGGGAAGATTCAAGTAAATAATACCAAGTGAGTTTAAACTTCATCCCATTGCACAAGCAAGTGGCTATCAGGACTCAGTAGCTAAGAAGAAAACGTTATAGCGTTTGAAGTGAATTGTACTGGGTTCGAGTCCGCAGGCGAACATTAAGATTCAACTGCATCCAGCTGACGAGTCCCAAACTGGACGAAACGCGTGTCCTGGATTCCCCACTAGTATTCACAATCCATCGTTATTTATAATGCTTGTAAATCAAAACAATATCGAGGCAATACGCACAGTATACACATATGCTAATAAGAGACTGATCAATTAGAGTCCTAAACATCAATGGGAAGATTCAAGCCAAACAATACCAAGTGAATTTATCTTTCAAAAGATATTGGGATATTGATGAATAGGATTATGTTTATTTAGACAATCAACTGGTTGCTGTTTTAACTTAAACTTAGAATTAGGAAAAAAATTGAGGAATTTTTTCTCTCATTAAGAACTGAACGTTAACAACTAGATCAACGTAGATAGCTAGTTTTCTGTTATTTGAAATGTTTCGACAGTGTTACTGATATGACATTATAGATACAATAAAGCCTTACGATCAGTTCGAAATTGGATAGTTTGTGCTTCTGATTTAAGTTAACTTGTGATTTCGCTCAACCATTATCAAAAGCATAGTTATTCACGTACATTATATGTGATTATGTGTATGTTCTACAAAAAAAACTATTCCGTTTGAATTCATTTTGTATGAGTTGTTTGAATCTTCTCATTGCAATTTTATGACTAGAATCGATCAGTCTATTATATGGCATATATGAACCCGGTGAGGATTGCCTTGATATTTCCATTTTATGTAGAGATAGATGGTGGTTAGTAGTAAAATCCAGGACAAGCCTTTTGTCCTATTTAGGACTCGTCAGCTGGATACACATTCACCTCAGTACCGTTCACTTCAAACGCCATCACGTTATCCACTTAGCTATTGATTCAGATATGCACTAGCTTGATCAATAAGGTGAAGTTTTTATTCATTTAGCTACAATACAAAAATGAATTAAAACTTCATCCCACTGCACAAGCTAGTGGTTACTTACTTACGCCTGTTACCCCCAATGGAGCATAGGCCGCCGTTGACCATTCTCCAACTAGGTCTGTTCTAGGCTTTCTTTTCTAGTTCTATACAATTGTTGTTCATTCTTCTCATGTCTATCTGTCTCCGTTTCTCGGCATAATGTGTTCTCGGTTCTTCCACTTCTCTTTTGGCCTTGAGGATTCCCAGTGAAGGCTTATCTTGTGATACAGTTTGGTGATTTCCTTAATGTGTGTCCTATCTACTTCCAACGCTTCTTCCTGATTTCTTCCTCCACTGGGATCAGGTTTGTTCTCTCCAACAGCAGGTTGTTGCTAATAGTGTCCATCCAACGGATCCGAAGTATTTTGCGCAAACAGCTAATGATAAACACTTGTATCTTCTGGATGATGGCTTTCATAGTCCTCCAATTTTTCGGCCCATACAGCAGAACTGTTTTGACACATGTATTGAAAATTATGACCTTGGTGTTGGTTGAACGTTGTTTTGAGTTCTAGATGTTCTTCATTTGTAAAAATACTTCTCTTGCTTTGCCGATCCGCGTCTTCACATCTGCATCATATCCACAAGCTAACGGTTACCTGGAGTTAATAGCTAAACGGATAACGCGATAGATTTCCAAACAAACGGGACTAGATTTGAGTCCCAAAGTGAACATTAACTCTGAGATACAGATACGTCCATCTGACAAATCTCAAATAGGATGAAACGCTCGTTCTGGATTCCACTATTGGCCATATTTTATTTGTATTTTTATCATGTATTATCATATTATGAATTGGAAAATAGTAGTCCTAATGTCACAACTATACTCTCTTCAAAATGATTTCATCTTACCTTTGTTAAAGCACCTCAACTGATTGGATTAATCACAGTATAGTGAACAAAAACAACAACAAGAATAATAATACAGTCAATGAAAATAATCAAAGTAATACGAAATAATCATCCATTAAAGCATTATTTATTAACAACTGGAAAAACCTGGGAAAGAATTGGCCATATCAGGGTTGGATAGAGTGCTGGTGGTCGGACTATGTCCCTCCACGAGAAGTAACAGGCGTAAGTAAATCAGTAAGTAAGTAAATATCAATGTACTGATAGTATGTAATCTATCTCTAGACAAACAACGTGCTACTAACACTCAACTAAGGTAAAAACTAACTGTTTCTTTTCCCTTGAATAAACTATTCGTATATAAATAAATACACTAATGACACTCATATTAGTAAAATGATAAAAATGTAGAAGAAAAAGAAAAAGGAAAGTGAACAATAGTACAATCAGTCTGTCAGTTACAGGGTAGGACCAGCCACATATATGCATCGATCCAAGTTGCCATACGTCATCAAGACAACAAGATAAACACCGAATTCATACAAGTAGTTAATTCAGTGGTGGCATATAAGGATATAGTACAGAAAGAAAGAATTAGTTCGCAGAAACAAAGATATGAAGCTATTTTAATCTCATAGTTTAAGAGAAGACAGAGAGTGTATACACAGATACCATTGTGATCGATCCTGAGCCATGTCACCTAGAGTCTCCAACCGTTATTGCTATCTTGATGTAGTGGTCAGGCTTGCCTATCGTGATGAACTATTCGAGCTATACTAGCTGGAAAAGTCGTTTCTCAAGGTACTACATGTCAGGTCGGTTGAAGAGCAGTAAGACTAAAAGCAACAAACCCAAGGTCCGAACGTGAAGTCGTACTGCTGAATGTACAGAGATGTGACGGCTCTTTCCCTCAGACAACCAGTATAACAGCGATGCTGACTTCCCATAAAGAAGGGTGGGTTTAGAAAAGGTCGACCCTAAAAATACATACTTAGCCTTATTCCACGGATATCCGTCTCCGGCGGTATGGTTTCAACAAGTACGTAGCTAACACGAAAATTACTCAGGAAAAAGCCGTGTGCAACCGACCTCAAGCAGATATCTCTTGAACAATACGGTCACGCTCTCAGATCACTAAGACCACTTCCAATACAATTTACTTTTCAGGTACCTGAAGAAGAACCCTTCCACATTGTGAGCAACCGGAAATTGATAACCACGCTCATACTTCCAACAGCACTAAAGACAACTATATTGATAATCAACCTCCCTCTTCAATCCTCATTATTCCTCGTACAATAAACAACCAAAACAAAGAAAGAAAAAAGGAAAAGAGAAAAAAAAGAAAGAAAAATGCGATTGAAACTAAGACAATTTACTTATAATGATAACTAGAATCTATATATCAAAAAGAAATAATTATAAACAAACAAACAGGTAAACAAATAGAAGACAAATATACTCTACTTTCAATATCACATATACAAATATACAAACACAAATGTACAAATACAGATACAGATATAGATATAGATATATATTGAGGAGTTGTGAACTACTCAGCAAAAAAGATGAAGCTTCCTTCCAACTAATTATATCAACTACAGTATACTAATTGTGAAGCAAAATATATAGAATAGTTTTTGTTATTGGGTTTCTATCTTAGAAACAATAATGATTGATTTGTTTTGTTTTGTCTAATAACCTACCTGACTAATGGAGTATTTGTTGAATGATGTATAATACAATTGAAGGAACTGAAGAAATTGATAAAATGAAAATAGTCAATTGATTTCTATGACACAAATATTCTCTATCTTAAAATATACATATATATATTTCATAGTTGAATTCATCAGTCGATTAAAGCTAGATCATCATTGAAAACCTAGAAGCACTGGACAATCATTTCGATACTTCTTAATAGTTACAGTTGATTGATCATTGGGTGGTGGTAATCAATGTCATGTGTGTCAAGTCCTTCTTAGTGTAGATTGAATGCTATCAATGTGGCCACTAGTCTCGACTAAAGTCGACACTGCGTACACTATGTTGAGATAAGATGGTGATTGGAGGTAGTCAACAGGAAACCTTGGACCCGAGTTTCGTGCTACTTGGCACTCGTCAGCATGATCTACCTGTAATCTTGAGGGAATTGGTACTCCCCGACGGACTCGATCCCCTGTCACCTAGCTTCACAGTCGATAGGATTCGATCTGTACCAAATAAGGGCTTGACACACATGACATTGATCCCCACCCAGAGATCAATCGAGTGTGACTATATCTCAGTCCTGCAGAAGATCGGTCACACCCCGGATAGCTCAGTGCTAACGTCTCTGACTGTGAAGCTGGATGACACAGGATCAAACCCCTCAGTAGGTATCATTTCGCTTAAGATTACAGGTACCCATTGCCAAGTAGCACGAAACTCGGGTTCAGGGTTTCCTGTTGACTACCTCTAACCACCATCTTCTCAATAGTGCATATCCATTATCTCGTCCACGGGATTCAAACCAAGGACCTAACGGTTTCGACTTATGAATTCAACTATTAAATCACTACAATGAAATTTTGTGCTTTTTTCATGTTTTAAAAGAAAAAATTATGTTTATTTTGTTTTTTACCTACCGTGGAATTTTCGCTGGAAGTAACCACATTGTTGGTGATGTATCTGTTAAATGAATTGGTGTTGTTGTTACATCATTTGGTTGTATATTAGGGATTTTTTGACTGGGATTAAAATTTAATAAATTAGAAGGTGAATGAATTTGTCCTAAAGCCTAAAATGATAAAAAACATAAAACAGGTAAATATATATATATATACCTATTATATATATAAGTGAAGACAATACAATAGTTTAGTAATCGAATATATATATCATCAGTTTGGGGGTTGTGGAGATTGTTAAGTTTTTGATTGAGATCATGAACCGATTGATGTTAGACCACCATTGAAGACCTGGAAGCACTGGACGGCCGTTTCGTCCCATTTTGGGACGTTCGCGCGCGAGACTGAAGACCCGGGTTCGAATCCCGCGAGCGGGATCGTGGGTGCGCATTGCTGAGGAGTCCCACAATAGGACGAAACGGCCGTCCATTACTTCCATATTTTCAATGGTAATCTAACACCAATGGGTTCATGATCTCAATCAAAAATATATATATCATATTACTGAAGAGATAATCTGTCAGAAAGAAAGTCGGACAGATTATCAGGTGAGACTATAATTTATGGGCGACATTTGAGCGACGCTAAGTCACCTTGGGACTGTTTAACTACATACTAGGGTTAAATGAGGGTTATAAAACAGTTTGAAGAATAATGATTATAATATATCGTTGATGGTTAAGGTTAGGAATTAGATTTACGGTTTTTCATCATGAACTGACATCAGCTATAATGCCAGGATTGTATTTAACCAAATGGTTGAATGAATTTCGAGCCAAAATCTAAGACCTGTTATCGTAAATCTGATTGGTTCGTCCATAAATTATAATCTCCCTGATTATCATTTATAGACGAAGCAATCAGATATAAAATAAATAGCGTTTGAATATCATAGCTGATGTCAGTTCGTGATGAAATCCATAAATCTAATTCCTAGACTTAACCATCAACTGTAACTCATAATTCGTATTATTTACACTATCTTATAATCCTCATTTGTCCTGGTTGTCACGTGGACACTCTCAAAGTCACTTTAGCATCACTCAAAGGTCATCCATAAATGATAGTCTCATTAGAAAGTTTATAATAGTAGGTAACTAAATGAAACTAATAGAAACTAGTTATTGTATATTAATGAAATTAGACTTTATTCTTACGGTTATTTAGATTCTCATTTCTCTATTCTTTATTGTTAAATACTTGAATATTGTTCGTTTATTTAAATAAATTTGGAAAGGAATCATTGAAGTTCTTAGGTCATATGATACTCGCTGATTTGACTCGCACGCTTACTCACTTGCCCGCTTGGTATTTTGGCATTACTCTTTCATGCTTGCTTAGGGTATTGGTAATTTTGGTTATCTGTACTTGATACAATAATAAACTTAATCAACACTTTGTATTCACCTTCTGAGGTGAGGCGGTATCTAGTGACGGTTATCAGGACAAACTGTATAAAACGTTTAGGAATTATATTAAATACCGACCATTACAAGATAACAAAGACTAATTGAAACATTCAGTGCGATATCTTCATTGAATATGACAATGTATGATTAACTTCAGATTGTAAACATTTAATACTGAAAGGATACATCTAAATAGTTTAGTATTTAATATGTGGAAAGATGTTTGATAATCAAAGCATTAGATTTTATTAACATCCGTCTTCATGTAAAACTGAAAAGTAAGGAGATATAAAGTAATAGTATTTTCATTAGAAGTTAATTTCTATCATAGACTAACGATATGAGAATTATTGAAAACTTGGAATGTAAACTTATGATCATACATGAACTCAAGGTAGGATCATCCTATCTAGTAGCATTCATGATACAATTGACTTATATAGTTGGAATTAACTAAGGTAAGAGTATAGTATAGGGACAAATTTGTCAGCTTGTTAGAAAACAATAATATCTAAATTAATCTTTTTAAATATAGATGCTTTCCGGCTCATTGGTTCAGAGGTTAAGTATTCGAGTGCAAGACCAAAGATCTTGGGTTCGAATCCCGCAAGCAGAATCCCTGAAGAGTACCGCTGAGGAATTCCACAATAGAACGAAACGGCCATCCTGTACTTCAATTTTAAAATTTACTTCAATTTTATTGGTGTATGCGCTGTTCATTTTCAAAGCAGTCTTAATAATCTCATTACAGTTTCTGATATACCTTTTATATATTCATTATCAAAATCTTTTAAGGAATAAGCTAAAATTTAATGGGAAATAAAAGAAAAAACACATACTGAACTCCATTTAGTGTTTACTTTTAATTCGTATAAAAACAAAATAAAAACTAATTAACTCCTTCTGAATCTCCTCTAGGGCTATTGCCGGTCCCAAGCCCGGATAAAGAAGGAGGGTTGAGTATGGAGTTAGCGATCACATCCCATAGAACATAAACTCGCTAAGAAAAGAAAAACACTAACCTTTTGGTTTAATGCTATCAATGAATATGGTGTATTAGTTGACCAATTCTGTAGTTGAATCTGTTGTTTTAATGTTTCAACATCTAATTGAATAGAAGGTAATGATTGATTTTGTTGTTGCTGTTGGTGGTGGTGTTGTTGTTGTTGTTGTTGTTGTAATGATTGTTGTCCAATAGTTTGTTGTGATTGATGTGTTTGAAGTGGTTGATTACGTTGATCATTTAAATTTGTTAAAATATTATAAGTTAAATTAGGTAATAATGCTTGAATTGTTCCAGATGGTGTAAGATTTATAAGATTTGGAATGGTTGTATTTAAATAATTACCAACTGATGTTAATGTCCCTGTAGAATTTATATAGGCTGTAGGTGAATTATAAGTAAAATTTAAAGGACATGAAGGTTGAAGATTTACATCAGACTGAATACCAAGTTGTGGAAATCTAGTCATTGTTGTAGAATGACCTAATTATTGAAATAGAACGAAAGAGATCATAGTTCAATGAGATTGTTTAAAACATATTGAAGTTTCAAAATGAAATAGGCATTAACTTTAATTAAGCAAATGATGACCATGAATTACCAAAACTTGGATTCATGGTATTGATGTGCGTAATAATCGTGTATATGTACAATAAGATTGAATGCTTTTATTAGCCATAAGTATTGTGGAAGTATCTGTGTTATCCTGTACACTGCCAAAGTTATAAATATAAATTCTCGGATTTCTAGTGAGAATCCGTGACTAATGCAGCTAACACGCATCGAGTAGTGATAGGTATCTACCTCAGTACAATGGAAAATGGTCGTGCAATTTCATGAATTCGTTGAAGTTACACATGAACACCGTAGGATACCGGTTCAATGGTCAAGAGTTTAAGCGTTAAGCGAGAGACTGATAGGTCCTGGGTTCGAATCCCGCGAGTGAGATTGTGGACGCACTGATGAAGCGTTCCACAATAAGACGAGATGACTGTCCAGTGCTTCAAGGCTTTCAACGGTAGTCTAACATCAATCAGTTCATGATCTGAAAATAGATATCAGTAGTTCGTATCACATATTCTATTTGTTATTTGAGTTAACAACTGTTTGCAAGAAACTTTCACAGCCATCCATGTTAAAGTTGAATGTATCTTATGAAATTGATGTTATTTGTGATTAGATTTTAGACTGTAGGTTAAGGATACGACTGGCAAAAATATACATTAAATGTCTCTCAATATGTAAATGAATCATTCTGACCTTTTGTAAATGACCTTTCTAATTTACATTGATATACTTTATAAGAATCAGATGATACAGTTCACCATTTTTTAAAACATAAAACATTTAATAATTGAATTCATGACTCGATTAAAGGCATACCACCATGGAAAACCTGGAAGCACTGGATAGTCGTTTTGTCCTAGTATGGGACTGCTCAGTTGTGTACATCCACGATCCCTCACGTGAACCGCATGCACAGGATCTTCGGTCTCACTCACTAATGCTTAATCTGTGAGTAGCTGAACCGGCATCCAAAGGTGTTAATGTCTAACATCAACCAATCCATTGTAATACGCGACCGTCCACCATTGTCTTCAATGAATAGCTGATAATAATCATCATCATGTGCTCACTACCAACTAGCTTCAAGATGTGCTTCATGGAGTTCTAGTGAGAAGCCATGACCAGTGGATTCCAACCATGAATTCGTTGAGGTTAGGCAATAACACCGTTGGATGTTTGCTCAGTGATCTAGAGATAAAGCATTCGAGCGAAGATACTGGGTTCGAGTCCCACTTGCGGGATTGTGGATGCTCACTACTGGGCAGTCCCATACTAGAACAAAAATGCTTCCAGGTTATCCATGGTGGTCTAGCTCATGAATTCAACTATTAAATGACTAAAATCTTCACAAACCTACATTCTGACACAAAACGTGGTTTAATGCATTAGCATAACTAACCATTTGGTAGTACAGCTGCAGATGGGAATTCAATAGGATTTGAATGATGAAGATTTTGATGATGTATACCTGAGGATTCCATTGTTAGATTTGATGTAGTTAAAGGTTGTCCAACATAATTGTTAGATGTTAATGGAAATGATTGAAACTGATTGAATGGCATCACTGATTATTAAGAAAAATTAATAAATAAATAAAAGGCTTTAGCTTTCAAAATTGTAGTTTAGTGGCTATAATGAGTAATTGTTTAATAAAAATATTACATGAACTACTTACTTACTTAAGCCTGTTATCCCTAATAGGGGAGTATATTACCGCTTACGAGCAGTATCCATTGGAATCTGTTCAAAGCAACCCTTTTCCAAGTGTTCCGAGTTACTATTCATACTTCCGATATCTGCTTCCTATTCACAGCGCAGTGTGTTCTCTAGCCTTCTACTTTTCCGTTTCCTCTCATCATTTCATGTTAGCGCTTGCTTCATGATGATGTTTAGTGATTTCTGTAATTTATGTCCTATCCGCTTCCAACGTCTTTTCCTAATTTTCTCGTCAGTTGGAACCTGGTTTGTTCTTTCCCAATGGTAGGCTGTTGCTGCTGCTATCCAATCAGTGGACATTAAGTATATTAAGTAGACAATTGTTTACTTCTTTGATGATGGTTGTACTAGTTATCCAAGTTTCAGCTCCATACAGTAGAACTGTCTTGACGTTCGCATTAAAGATTCTGACTTTGATATGGATTGACAGTTGTTTTGAGTTCCATATGTTCTTCAATTCTGGGAATGCTGTCTTTGACTTGCCAATCCTCGCATTCACGTCTGCATCAGATCCTCGTTGTTTATCGATGATATTTCCTAAGTATGTGAAAGTTTTCACATCTTCAAGAACTTCTCCATCAGGTGTGATTGTTTTGGTTAGTGTTCTCTGTGTTGTATTTCTCATTTTCCCTTGTTTATATTGAGGTCTACTGATGCTTCACTGGTTTTCGTCATCTGCATTTGTTCGTATGTATAGAATAGAAGAGCTAGGTGATCTGCGAAATCCAATTCGTCTAGTTACATCCAACCTGTTCATTATAATTTGTGCTTATTACATTACATTATAGTAAATCAACCGTAGGAATAACATTACGATTAAAAATACGATAAGAGACTAATATATCAAATTCATATCTCCAACTACCTATCTACATTGCTTTCAGTAGCTAATTATTATCATTAAACTTCATAATATCAATACATATTGTTCTAAGCTTAGAACATGAACTTGATCATAGTGAATATGTTATATTATTCATTATATTATTCAAAATATCATAAAACATTTTAATGACACAATATGTGGAAGTTGAAGAATGCTGGTCAGCAGCCTATACTCCATTGGGAGTAACAGGCGTAAGTAAGTAAGTAAGTAAGTAAGTAAGGGAGGGAGGGAGGGAGTGAGTGAGTAAATAAGTAATTAAGCACATGGAAGTTGTACAATCTTTAGTTTCATTAGTATGAAAAGATAATGAAATAAACATGACCATACATTTATCTGTCAGGACATTTTACTTTTAAAGGTCAATTATCCACATGAGATAGTAGGGTAATGATATAGTTACTAAATTGTCATTAAACTATCATTGATATATTAGAAATGAAAATTTATCAGGTCAACTTAAAATTTACATAAATCAGGCTTGAATTCTTTAATGGTCAATGTTTTTATAAACCTAATGAATTTACTGATGACAATTTTCATAGAAAGTTCCCCTCTCTCATTCTTTGTCTCTCTCAAAGAAAAACAAACATTTCCAGGTCAATATTTGGATTTGTTTCAGAAATGTTTTCTAATATATACATATATCAATAGTTGAGATCATGAATCAATTGAGGGTAGATCACCATGGAAAAACTGGAAGCATTAGACGGCCGTTTTGTCCTATTGCGGGAATCTTCAGTAGTGCGCATCCATGACCCCAGGACCCATCAGTCTCACGCGCAGTGACCAGTGGAGTTTAACCGGCTATGCTGTGAGATAATTACTCACTAAGGAAACTGGTGGATGTGTCGCTCAATTTCTTGGATTAGTTAAAGTTAGACATTAACACCGTTGGATACCGGTCGGCTCAGCGGTCTAGAGGTTAAGTGTTCGCGCATGAGACCGATAGGTCCTTGGTCCGAATCTCTCGAGGTGGGATCGTGCTTCCAGGTTTTCCATGGTTGGTTAGCTTCAATTGATTCATAATCTCAACCATTAAAATTAATATGATGTCTACAAAATCCCTTTTGATATGCATATATGATTAAAGTGTATGAAATATAATTGGTTCACACATACCACATTTTCCCATAATCTCCATCTTCTTAACATATAGAGGCTAAGCGTTCACGAGTGAGACCGAAAGTCCTGGGTTCGGATCCTGAGTGTGGGATCATGGGTGTGACTACTGAGGAGTCCATACTAGGAAGAAACGGTACTTCCAGGTTTTTAATGGTGACCTAAATCAATCAATTCATGATCTCAACCAAATCCGTCAGCGGGTATCAGTTCCCTTAAGATTACAGGTACCCCTTCTTGACGACTGTCAAGTAGCACGAAACTCGGGTCTAGGGTTTCCTGTTGACTACCTCCAGCCACCATCTTATCTCATCATAGTGCACACAGTGTCGAGTCTAGTCGAGACTAGTGGTCAGATTGCATCTCGATCGATAGCATTCAATCTACATTAAGAAGGACTTGAAACACATGAGATTGATCACCACCCAGTGATCAATCAATTGAGAAAGCACTTTATTAACCGCCTGAACATTTAGACTTTGTATCTTTCCTCACTTTTGAGTCATCATCAATCTTCAACCTCATAAACCTGGATCGAAAACAGAAGGTTCGATACATGAAATGGGTTATAATTCTAAGATTATTTCCTTACAGAAAACAAGGATATTTAAGAATTATATCTCTTCTCGAGTTCATAGAAAATGATAACAAACTTTATAATTTTCCAACAGCATATAGAAACATAATCTGTCGTTTTCTAGTATTTACTTTAGTTTCAAAATAACTCTGATTATTTGAAACATATTTGTTTATAAGAATAGGGGTTTCTGGAGTAATTTTATTAGTTCAATTCATGAGCCATGACCGGTGGAGTTTAACCTGTGTCATATAGAGCAGGTATCTACCTCAGATAATGGATGAAGGGTTGCTCAGGATTATGGATCGATTGAAGTCAGTCATTAATATCGTTGGATGACAGCTCAATGGTCTACAGGTTAGGCGTTCGTTTGAGAGATATAAAGTCCTAAGTTCGAATCACGAGAGCAGGACCGAAAATGCATACTACTGAGGAGTCCCACACTAGAATGAAACTGCCATTAAGTGCTTGTAGGTTTTCACTGATGGTCTAACTTAGATCAACTATGGAAACATTTTTTTAAACATCTTCCAGCAATGTATTACATCACTAATTTGTAATCATCTGACTAACTATTCCATCATTTCATTTCATTTCATTATGTTTAACAAATACAATAATTTATCATTCTTTATAGTAAATAGATGTATTAACTGAAGTTATTCGATATAAATAAGTCATACTTTAACTTACATGATGCATAAGCAAGTGATACAAATGCTGATCCTGAGTTCTGTAAATTTTGATTTATATTCTGATAGTGTTGTTGCTGTTGATGTTGTTGTTGTCTTGATGCAAGAGCAGCTGCAGCTATGGTAGCTGCAGCTGTAGCTGCCGAATCAACTTCATTTGGTAAAGCTAAATAGATAAAGAAAATTGATAATAATAGTAATGATAATAATCAAACAATCATTGGAATAGAAATTGCAAGCATTTTATGGAGATTATTGAATAGACCGTAGTTGGAAATTCTTTGATGATCAGAAAACATCGGACATTTGCTTCGTATTAGTATTGGAGTCCATAGGAGTGTAATATCTACGACTCAATCACTGGGGATAGGAACATAGAACCAGAAGATGGCCGAAAATACTTTTTTTTAAAAATCTTATCTGTGATTATCACATTATCTCAACTTCGCTTCTAATAGAATGATTTAATACGATTGTATACCTATAAATGGTAATATTTAGGAGGTGACCTTATTCGGGATGTCATTGAAAGATAAGAAGCAGAGGGCAGTCATTTCCACGTGAATTTCTTTGGTTTGATTCCTTCAGGAGTTATGCGTGATTACTGAAACGATCAGGTACAAACTGATAATGTTTATGATAATGAATGTACATGAAGTGGGTTTGAACCTTTGGTAGAGAATAAGATTTTATAAAAAGTGAATACATAGTTTGCTGACGATTGCCAAATCTTAAAGTAACTCAAATTAGTCATTTCCTAATGACTGTTTTAAAGTATAAAACAACTGAATCTAATATATTTACTTGATGTTGTTTACTTGTATCTTCAAAGCGAACGGTACTGGGTTCGAGTCCAAGAGTGAACATCAACTCTGAGATGCAGGCATATCCAGCTGACGAGTCCCAAATAGGAAGAAACGCGTGTCCTGGATTCCACTGGTAGCCACTATCCATCATTGCTTACAAAAAGCTTGTGAATTAAGGTAATATCGAGACATACGCACAGTATGCACATATGCCAATAACAGACTGATCAATTGCAGTCTTAAACCTCAATGGGAAGATACAAGCCAAACAATACCAAGGGAATTTAAATTCACCCCATTGCACAAGCAAGTGGCTATCAGGACTCAGTAGCTGAGTAGATAACGCGATGGCGTTTGAAGTGAATGATACTGGGTTCGAGTCCTACAGTGAACATCAACTCTGCGATGCAGGTACATTCAGCTGACAAGTCCCAAATAGGAAGAATCGCGTGTCCTGGATTCTGCTGCTAGCCATTATCCATCATTGCTAACTGAATCTAACACTTTTACAATACTAATTCTTAAGTAATAAGTTTTGTTTGTAATTTTAATTATGAATTACTTTTTACTATGAATTAAAAGATGTTGCAATAAATATGGTTATCGTTAAGTTATATAGTCCGTAGTTGCCACTGTTATTAAATAACAGTTACTCAGTAAAGGACCTAACTCCACCTGGAGCCCCTTTTAGGCCAATACCGGTACCATGTCCGGATAAAGGAGGAGCGTCGGGCATGAGTTAGCGACCTTATCCTGCACAAACCTAACTCGGAAAAAATGCTGATCAGAAAAAAATAATTCAAACCATTTAAACTCTGTCCTGGGAGTTCGAATGTTTTCATTTAGGAGAGTTATGACGCCTCATGGCAAAAGTCGAGTTCCTTCGGAAACCACGAGGCTGATGCCCCTTCTAACAACCAAAGCAGCCATTAATTTGGATACATTGAATGCTCGTACAATATGAAAGACCGGTAGAATTTTCCGAACTGCTGCAGAAATGAAGAGGAAAGCACCTAAACATTCTACAAACAACTGGGAAAGACTGCTCATTACAAAGTTGGATAGAGAGTGCTGGTGTGTGGCCTATGCTCCTCCATGAGGTGAAAGACTTCAATTCTTTGTATTACAAAGTCCAGTATTAAATTGGTTTGCATTTAGAATTAGAGAATTGATTGTCATTAGCTTTAATGTAAATAATTTACTTCCACTCTGAAATATATTAAGTGGAATTTTTTTAAGGAAAAAAATAGAGAAAAAAAGGGATTTAAGAATAATGGTTTGAAGTACTTCCTGGAAATGAACTTCCATTCATTTTTAACTTTATAGTGATTTATTCTATGTATGAAAATCTTTTGTAAACTATGAATTAAGTAGTATTGTGGTATGTGTTACTGATATCGGCAGATATATAAGTAGTATGTATGATCAATCGAAAGTGAAATATGTGGAGGAGTAGATGGTTATAAAGATCAAACAAATGAGAATGAGAACAAAGAATGATTAGTGTGAGAACGAAAGAACAATGAAGTCAGAGATAATTGATTGACATTTTGCAAATGAATTAATTACTGTATGGTTCTGAGATTTTACTATGAGATTATGTAATTTTGTATTCATATACATTCTATTGGTTCTCATTTATGTGGTCGATCACCATAGTATGACTTACCAAATGCATTAGGTAATAAACTTCGTTGTTTCACTAAAGCATTACTTGAACTCAGTACTTCTTTTGGTAGAGCTCGTTTTGCTTCCACCTACAATGTTAATAAAACAAATTTAAACAAAGTGTATTTATTATCAAAAAACGTTTTGTGAATCAATTGAAGCTAGACAACCATTGAAAATCTGGAAGCATTGAACAACCGTTTCGTATCATTATGGTACTCCTCAGAAGAGCGCATCCACGATCCCACCTTAAGAGATTCGAACAAAGGACCTATCGGTCTCATGCACGAACGCTTAACCTGTAGACCACTGAGCCGGCTGGTATTCAACGGTGTTAGTGTTTAACTTCAACTAATCCACAGAAATGAGCGACACATCCAACCTTTTCCTTAATAAGTTATTATCTCACAACAGACCCGGTTGAACTCCACTGGTCACTGATTCTCAGTGTAATTAAGTGGGTGTTTATAACAAATTATGTTCATATTCACAATGGGGTGATTAGTACTGAAAAAAAGTGCAATTTACATTACTGATTTTTCTTTTAGAAAAAGTACTTTCACCAACAATTTTGTGGTAATTTCAGTAAATCGATAAAGTGCTAAAATATCAAATGATTCTATGATTCTTTCATTGTAATGTTTGAAAACAATATTACTTACCTACTTACTTACTTACTCAATCCCTCACTTACTTATTTACTTACTTACTTACTTACTTACTTACTTACTTACTTACTTACTTACTTACTTACTTACTTACTTACTTACTTACTTACTTACTTACTTACTTACCTACTTACTTACTTACTTACTTACTTACTTACTTACTTACTTACTTACTTACTTCCTTACTTACTTACTTACTCACTTACTTGCTTACTTACTTACAGCTGTTATTCCCAATTGAGCATCGTCGGTTGACTAACACTCTCTCACCTAACACTATACCTTGACAACTAATAATGCGAACTTAGAATTATATTCACTACTGAAATAATTAATGTTAGTTTAAGTGATCTAATTCATAGTCATTTATAGTGTAGCATAGATGCATGGATATTAATCTTTCTCAATAATGAGAGTTATAATATACAGTGATTTATATGTAAATGTTAAACTCTACTCTCAATGTACACTTTTCCCTTATTCTCATTCATATTTGTAGTAAAGAAAGTTTAGCTAAACTAAATTCAATCTAAACTACATTATTATTTAGAATAAGAACTATTCAGTTATAATAATCATAAATTACTTGTTAAATCGATAAAATCGATAAAGATATAAAAAATTTCTGTTTATCATTGATTATAGAAGAAGGATTCACTTTTATTGATTTTCATTCGTTTCAGGAAACAGTGAATGATTTCCGTTTTTTTTTTTGTTTTTTTTTTTGGTTTTTGCTTTGGTTGTTTCGTTAATTTATGAATTTCAATAATACTAAGTGTATTCAATGTCACAAAAATTCACTGCTTCATTTCTATTGTAAAATCAATCTAAGTAAAACAAAATCTCTGTAGTATCCAAAACTTTTGGTATTAAGTATGAATCCTTTTTACTTCTAGATTTGTAATGTGTTTGGATATTGATTAAGTGATTTAGAGATTTAATTTTGGTAAATGGGACTTGAGATTTAATGTTCAATTCCCGGTTAAGGAATTGTGAATATCCATTGATGAAGAGTTAGAAATAAGAACGAAACAGATTTCAAATTTGTCTGGGTTTTTAATAGTTGCTTATATTACTACTGTACATGATTTTAATTCATAGCTAAAAAGTGAGAAAATTTGGATCACAAAACATTGATATAAATGCTACAAATTGTCTCATGACCAAGATTTGATATAGTTTTATACCAAAATAAAATAATTGTGTAGTAATCCTTTATTGTCATTGGTTAATTAGTCAAATTTATAGTATGGTGTTAACCACAGATTAGAACCGGTTATGTTAATCAGTCAGTCAGCTACAATGTAGAACCGAGAGCATGCATACATCGATCCAAGTTGTCATACCTCATTAGAACAACAAGATAAACACGAAATTCATAGAAGTAGTTAATTTAGTGGTGGTAATATATAAAAGAAATATTGCAATAAGGATATAGTACAGGAAGAAAGAATAAGTTCATCGAAAGAAAGATATGAAGCGATTTTAATCTTATAGTTTAAGGAAAGACTGTGAGCCATGTCACCATGAGTCTCCAACCATTGGTTACCATAATCAAACAGACCCTAACCAAGTAATCTGAATGTACAAACCGACAGTTGTTGGTACCTTGACGTGGTGGTCAGGCTCGCCTATTGTGAGCTATACTGGCTGCAACAATCGTTCCTCAAGTTCTTACCATGACAGAAAGGTCGGTTGAAGAACGGTAAGACTGAAAGCAATAAACTCAAGATTCGAAGTCGTATTGCTGGATGTACAGAGGTATGACGGCAGTAAAATGTTTCCTTCAGACAACTAGCATAGTAGCGATGCTGTTTTTCCACAAGGAGAGGTGTGGTTAGAAAACGTCGACCCTAAAAATGCACCCCTCGCCTTATCCCACTGATATTCGTCTCTGGCGGCAAGGACTCAAAAGTACGGAGCTAACACGAAAACCATTCACAAAAGGTCGTGTGTGACCGACCTCAAACAGTTGTCCCTTGTGCACTGCAGTCATGCTCTCAGGTCACTATGACCACATTTAATACAATTTACCTTTCAGATACATCCAGAACAACCGCTCCACGGTGTTGGAAACCGGAAATTGATAACCGCAGCCAAGACAACTATATACATTATCATGTTAATCAGTCCAACACAACTTTTACATCAATCGTATTTTTATGTGGAATTTTCGTGAAAGTACTCATTTATGTAAAGGAAAAAAGAAATGAACAACACAGAGTTCGGAACATGTTGGGAATAAACAGGAAAGTGCAGACGAAGTCTTGAAGAAATTGATATTGTAAGTAAAGTTCGAACCACTGATTCACCGATTGAGAAGTTACCAATGAACATTTAAAAGGATGCATTGAGTTAGATTAAATGAATGGTGGTATGTTTTAAACTTAAACTGAAGCTTTATAAGCAAAGATGGATAGTGGCTAGCAGTGGAATCCAGGACGCGCGTTTCGTCCTGTTTGGGACTCGTCAGCTGGATGTACCTGCATCTCAGAGGCAATATCGAGGCACACGCACAGTATGCACATATGCCAATAAGAGACTGATCAATTTCAGTCCAAAAACATCAATGGGAAGATTCAAATAAAAACAATATCAAGTGAATTAAACTGAAGCTATTCAAATTCAGACCTGCGCTAAACAAGTGATGTCTTTAAGATGACCAATATTAGTGATATCAATATCCTTAAGGGTGAAGTTTCACCTTTTTAACAAATTTTAACGAATATGAAATTTAGGTCAAGTGCTTACTATAAACTACTACTAACTACTTATAAACTAGATTTCATAAATAAACTAGTCATTTATTCAACATATCAAATTATTCAATAACACTGACTAAATATTTATTATTTAGGATATATTCAGTTAAACAACACAGTTGACCATAAATAGGCATCCCAAATTTTTTTTAAATATTCAGACTAATAACTCTTCGAATTGAATGCTAAATTCGGTTTTCTAAGCCCTTCTAGTAACCCCCTAGGCTAAATCTATACAGTAACGTGAACACAAGAGAAACCTTTTACTCTAAAGGTTCGTTTTTCTAATATTTTATATGATATTGGGTTTCCGGAAAATTCTGGAATGCTGCTAAACATAATAGCAGTATAAGTAATCAACCAATCAGAAACATGACATGTGACTTGACACTTTCTAAATGACTAGTATAGGGGTTCTGGAGATTATTAAATTTTTGATTAAGATCATGAACCGATTGATGTTAGACCACCTTTGGAAACCTGGAAGCACTGGACGGCCGTTTCGTCCTATTGTGGCCCTGGGTTCGAATCCCGCTTGTGGGAACGTGGATACGCACTGCTGAGGAGTCGCATGATAGGACGAAACGGCCGTCCATTGCTTCCAGGTTTCCAAAGTTGGTCTAACATCAATCGGTTCATGAACTCAGTCAAAAGCTTTCTAAATGTTTTTGGCTAAAACGTCTATTGGATGCTGATTAGATAAGAGGGTCTCTCAGTGTTTTTTTTCAGAGCCTTTACATTCAGCTTTTTTTTCCAGGAATTTTGTGGATCCCCTCAACACAAACCATTGATCAATTGCATATTTTTATAAAATGGATAACAAAATAATCTCAGAAAAATCACCTCAAATTATTGATGTATGATTTAATATATTGAAGTGATATTTATTTTCAATAGTTGAGATGATCAATCGACTGAAGCTAGACCACCATGGAAAATCTAGAAGCACTGGATGGTCGTTTCGTCCTACTTTGCACTCCTTAACAGTGCGCATCCACGATTCTGACTCGTGAGATTAGAACCCAAGACCAGTCAGTCTAGTATGGGGTTATGGAGATTGTTGCATTTCGTTAAGGGCGTAGCGTTTGAGAGTCCTTCCATTTGGTCGAACTCGAGAGCGACGTATAGATTTCCAATACAACTTTGGATACAAGTTGGTTTCTATGCACTCCTTCATAAAATCAACATTTGTCATCGCCTCACTGAGCCTTGTGCTATACTTCAGATACTCGTTTAGAACCTTTAACGCAAATGTTTGCTCAAAACGTTTCAATATAGTATTGTTGAATTTCATTGAAATCATGAACTGAAGTTAGAATACCACTAGACACATAGGGTTCACGTAGGGGAGTTGGAAAACCCTGAATTCAAATCAATGGTGCACCTAGGCAAATGGTATTCATGATCACCGGCTACCATGGGACTGCATTTCCTGCCGTTGCCCTACTTATTTGTGTATCAGACATTTAAGTCGAAGGCTCCGGGTGTGGCCTCCCAAGAAAACCACCTGGTTCGGTTTGGGCAGTCGGACAGTATCTTAGCCCTCATACAAATCAGATGATATATATGGAGCATATATATTTGGTGTCTCTTTGTACCAATAATTACATGTTCGGATAAATAAAGAAATTAAATCATTTCATGATATCAGTGAAATAC